CGGGGTGTTGGGGGGTGGGTGAGGAGTCGCGCCCGAGGCTCAGCGGCCGGGCGGGGCTTCTTTTTCACCTTTTCGTGGCCCCGGCTCCTGCCGCCATTCCGGCGCACGTTGCCGTCACCGCGCGCCGCGCCCTGCACGCTGGGCGGCCGGGCGGCTCGGCTGGGAGGCCGGGCGGGCCCGCCCGCCTGCAGGCGGACCTCTGTCCCCCCCCCCCCCGGCGCAGGCGGACCAGGCTGCTCTTGCGGTCGTTCAGGGCCGTGGTCGCGCCCGCACCTCGCGATGCGCCAAGGACCGCGGTGGATCCCTCCGTTGGGAGTTGGGCCTGGGTCCCGGTGCGTTGGGATGCCGGTGCACGTGGGATCCGGTCCACCAGCCCGGCCGGCGGGCCCGTTCCCCCCTCCTCCCCGCCGCCGCCACCCGCCTTGTGTTCCGAGCTTCCCGGGCTCCAGGGGGGAGGCGGGCCACCGGTGGCGGGCACCCTCGGCGGCTGTGTGGCGAGATGGGCCGGAAGCGGGCGCGGGGGGCGCACGATCGGGCCGCCGGCGGCCTGTCTTGTCTCCTTCTTTCTTTTTTTCGAGGGGGAGGGCATGCGTGCGTCGCGCGGCCGGCGACAGAGCGCCCAAAGCCCGCGGGGGCGATGTGCCGGCGCGCGTACGGCGATCGCGCCGACCACAGGCCCGGCGACCTGTGCACCCGGGGGATGCCCCTGGTGTCGCATGCATGTGGGCCTGGATGAGGGGGGCGGCGGGAGGCGTCTCGCCCGGCAGGCGGCCGTGCGGCCTCTGCGGCCGTGCCCTCCGATCGCACTGGACCCCGGTTTGGAATGCCCACCAAGTGCCCGACGAGAGGGGCGCCATGCCTGGCACAGGTACAGAGCCGGCCTGGCCATGGCGTGGGCGGCGATCCCACAGAGGGGAGATCTTCCCGTGGGCTGACAAAGGCTTGTGTGCGCGTGCGTGCGTGTGTGTGCGCGCGCGCGCGCGCGCGAGAAAGCGACAGAGAGGAGGAGACAGAGCTCTGGGGTACTTCGAGCACCTGCAAACACCGGCACCTGTGGCCTTGCAGCGCCACCACAAGCCCCCATGCCGCACATTCTTCTCCTGGGGCCAGGCAAGAGAAGCCCGACGACGGACCCGAGAACAGAGAAAGAAGAGAAAGAGTCCCCTCCCGCCCCCCGCGCCCTGCCGCCCCTGCACCCTTCGCAACAGCAAGCATCCGTGGCCGGGGGTGTGGCCGTCAAATCCCGAACAGCAAGGCACACGATGGGGGGAGTTTCTACTTTCAGGGGGGGGGAAAATGGAAAAGACTAGATGATGATGGAGCCCGGCCGGGCCAGCGCGCGCTGCGATGGCACAGGCAGGCGCCAGCCCCAGGACACGGGCGACCGGGGGGAAAGGGGAGGCAGCAATCGCCAGCCTCGGGGCTGGATCCAAGTCGAGGCGGGGGCCTGGCCACAGTCTCGATTCGGGCTCAGCCCCCAGGCCGTGTCCATGGCCCGGAGGGCAGCCTGCCGGCGGGCGTAAAACCGATACCGGAGGAAGAGCTCCACCAGGACAACGGCATCGTTGACGGCATAATTAACCTGGGCCACGGGGAGCTTTTCCCGGCCGGCAGACCAATTGCCCATGGTCCAGGTGTCATCGAGCCGCAGACCGAAGCAATGGACGACCGTGGCTTTGAGGCCGCGGATGTTGGAGATCTTGAGGTGGGGATTGTGCAAGGACTGATCCCCCGGCGGGCAGGGGACCTGATGGGGGTGGCGGTCATATTCCGGCGGGATGGTGGCCGGCTGGCCGCCCTGCGCGTAGCTCGGCTTGCTAGGATAGGTGGGCGGGGGTTTCGGCCGAGTTGACAAGTCCACGAAGGGCACAAGCTCCTTGCCGGCCAAGCCGGCCAGCGCGGCCGTCGGGGGCACATCACTGGACCGAGCGTACACCAAGTTGGTCCAGCGCCTGGCCGGCCCGGCCGCGCGGAGGTACTCCCCGAGGCAGCGCTTGGCCAGGTCCAGGTGGCGGATGGTGTCCATCAGGAAGATGATCGACTGATTGAGGGCCGCATCGATGCCGGCCAGGGAGTCCATGGTGTTCGGCTTCACCGGGGTCAGGCACACCTGCACCAAGTCCGGCCAGGTATTCGGCCGCCCGGTCTTGGGGCAATCGGAAAACTGAAATAGATTCCCCCGCGGGAAGGCCTCCGTGTCGAGGCTCGACACGCCGACCGACTGCCGGAGCATATTCTCGAAGTACCTGGCCTGGTGTGGAGAGGTGATCCATACCGTTCGGCTGCCCTTCGGGCGGCCATACATCGGGTATGGCGGTCCGTGGACGTCGGGAATCACTTCGTCGGCCGGGACTTGGAGGATATATCTCATCATCCCCTGCCAGGCAATGATGCTGGGGCTCCTGGCTACCACTCGCACGCCTGGCAGCGGAGTGGCTTGCGCAGCCCAACGTTTGAAGGCAAATTTATCTTTCGAAAGCATCGTCATTCGATCATTATACTCGTCCATCCAAAACCGAAAGTTAGCCAGGTGGGCGGCTGGTATTTGGGTGGTACGTCCCAGTCGAGGGAGTTGTGTGTGTGTGTGTGTGTGTGCGCATGCGTAGGTGTGCGTAGGCGTGCGCGGATGTGCGCGGATGTGCGTGTGGTTGTGTCCGTCAGTACATGTACACGCGCAAGGCAGGTCCCCAGCCCAGAGGCCAGGAGACACCCCCCCCAGCACGGCAAATGATGTACCTTCGGAGAAAAAGGTCTTTCGCTTGCTCAGGGACGGGGAGACAAACAGGAAGGTATGCATGAGCTGACAGGCGGAAACTAGCCCGATGAGTTTGCGGGTGAGCACGCCAGTCTCGCGGAATCTTTTGACGACGTTCTGGTACTGGCGTCTCAGGCGCTCGTCCACATCCAGCAGGGTTTGCTCGAAGTCCTCGAGCCGGGGCGGAGTCCACAAGCCGTAGGCCATCATCAGGGCGGACAGGGCCTGACGACAGGAGGGCGCACGCGGGAGCGGAGGGGCGGAAACATGGAAAGGTTAGGAAGCAGAGAGCCCACAGGGGCAAAAGGGGGCCGAGAGCGGCCAAGGCCAGCCCACGGGCAGGGAGAGCAGCATGGCGCGCGGACGCACGAGGAAGGTGGCATTCTCTGAGGGCACCCTGCTGAAAGTGTAGGTCCCCCTCGGGGATAGGGCCAGAGGGTCGATGTTGACGCCGGACTCTTGGGCCGCCTGGACTGCGTGTTTTTGGCGATGACCACCCCGCGCAGCAGGGAGCCAGTCGAGCGTGTCCGGCCGCCGGCAGGGGAGGGGAAATGGCGGCATGCGTCAGGCCGGGATGTGGCGAGCGAGGTAACAACCCCACAGGGGTGGCGGGAGGACAACGCACGTCGGGCCGCCAGGATCCCATAGGCATGCGGGCCGTGGCCCACCTGAGCCTCGAGGGGGCTGAGCAAGCCCAGTTTAGCCACAAAGGACTGCAAGTGGGCCTTGGATTGGGGGCGAGGCGAGAACGGGAACAGGCAAGGCAGCGGCTCGACCAGGCCGGAAGAGCACCCGTACATTGCGCGCAGTTCTCGGGGAGCCGGGGCCGGGCCCGGTGTCGCCGCCGCGGCCGTTGCCGCCGCCGCCGCCGCCGCCGCGGCCACTGCCGTTGCTGCCACCGTGGGTGGGGCACTGGATGTGGTGTTGGCCACACCGGCGTGCGGGGTGGCAAGCGCATCGGCCAGCGGGGCACCGTCGGGGGCGTGTGCCGGGGCGTCAGCCTCGCGAGGGGTCGAGGCATGGCGATTGGTGTGCCCCTGCGAATGCGTGGAGGATCCCTCCTCGGGGTCGGTGGTTGCCTCAGCATGCGCCGCGGCCATGGCATGCATGGCACGGCGCGATGGCACGGCGGCCAGCACGCGCCAGCAAGACCGGAGCTGAAGCATCCCGAAAGCAGGCGAGATAGCTCGGCGGTCCCGCGCAGGGGGCTGGTGGAGGGGTGAGGGTGGTCCGGGGGGGGGGCGGGCGAGCGGGCGAAGATCCGGGGATGCGGGGAAAAAGAGGGCAGAGGAGAATGAGGTGGAGGGGGGGGGGGGATGCCTGTGTTGTGCGCGTGCGCGCTGCCGCCTCGCCACGACAGCAGCCGGGCTTTTCGGATCGCCGAGGCGAGGTCAGCGCCCGGGAGATGGGGCCCCTTCCGCGTGGGGATCGGTGGCCGGGTCGCTGCCGGCCCGGTGCCGCCGGCGCGTGCGCGGTGCCGGCCCTCCCTGCCCATGCGTGCGCGGCCGAGCGGGGACGCCAGCAACGAAGCACACAGTGCCAACGCTTCCGCCGGTGGTCGCCCGGCGAAAAAGCCCCCCCCCGCGGCCGAGCCCCACACCGGGGCTCTCGGTCCTGACCGCGCCCCCGTCTGGTCGGTTGTTCGCCGTTCCTTCTGCCCATTGCCGGGTGGGGAGGGCGCGCCCTGATCGGACAACCGCCGGGTACCGGGCTGCTCGTTGAAGAGCGAGCGCGCCGGGGCGCCCCGCTCCTCCTCCCAGGGAGGGGGGGGGGACCAGGCACACACAGACACACACACACACACACACACAGCACGCTTCTCCCCGTTCCCCCCTCTTTACGCCTGTCCCTTCCCCCCTTCTCGCGATGGACCACAGGGAGGACGCCAACCTGGAGGAGCAGCTCCAGGACATCCGTGCGGTCCGCCTGGCCGCGCAGTCGCTCGTGTCGCTGACGGATCAACTCATCCAGGTGTGTTTGTGGGTGGGCTCCGGCCTCCCCTGCTGGACGCCTGTTCCTTTTTGCCTCCCCCCCCCCCCCCCCCAGGCCGACTACTGACCGCCGTGTGCCCCCCTCCTTTCGCTCCCGGTCTCCCTCCCGAAGGAGGTGCCGGTGGTGGCGCAAAACTTCGAGGTCCTTGGCTGTGCGTCCTTGCCCCCTTCTCCGCCCTGCACCCCGCGAGGCTGGTGCGTGCCGCGCGGGAGCTAACCTTCGCCCCTCTCTGCGCTGTGTGATGTCCCGGCCGGGCAGCCCATTGCACCCAGTGGGAGGCGGTCATGGATGGGTCGCTGGCGGCCCGGACGCCGGCCCGCGGGCCCGGCGCCCCATCCGTCTAGATGTCCTCCCCCCCCCCCCCTCTCCGTTGTTTTGGCCCTTCTGGGTGGCGGCGCCCCTGCCGATGCACGGCGATGCGCCCGCCCGCTCTGCCCTGGGGTCTCTGGCCCGGCTCGTGCGTGACGAGGTATGCCAGCGGCTTCCCGCCTGCCCAAAATACAGGCCCCCCCCCCCCTTCCAAATGCAAGCGCGCACAGAGCGGCGCACATTGGGTGTGGTTGTATATGCATTTGTGTGTATTTTCGGCGAGGCATGTCGGAGGGCACGTGCGCCGGGCGCGACAGGGGGCGAAGAAAAGAAGGACGGGCGAGGGTGTGGCGGCAAAGCCAGGGGCATCTCAAACTGCAAGAGCCAACATGGTGCGCGCGCCCCGCCCCCTCCGTCGGTCGCTCTGTGGGCCATATGTGTGTGTGTGTGTGTGTGTGTGTGTGTGGCGGCACGGCAATTGGGCTTCCCCCGCCCCGGTGGGCCGGGGTCCGTGTCGCCTCAGAGAGCCAGGGCAGCCAGCAGCCCGGCCAGCACCGGGGCCAGGATGGCCAGGAGGGCCGGCGCACGGGCCGACACGCCGGCGGCATTGCAGAACTCCTGGACCTGGGCGGCAAAGGAGTCGGGCTGCTGCTCGCGGCAGGTGCGCAGGTAGGGCTCGGTCTCCATGATGCAGGCTTCGGTGGAGGGGGAGTTGCAATAGTTGAAGCGGGTGATCCACCGGGCGCACTTCTCGCCACAGTCGACGGTTTGGCTGGCGGCGTCGGTCTGGCAGAAGCGCGTGATGTCATTCGGGTCGGAGGGGTCCTTCCGGCTGCATCCCTGGCCGATGGGGTCGTCGCTGGCGCTGCCGGCAGGGGGCGGGCCGCTGGAGCTGGGGGCCGAGGATGCCGCACTTGAGGAGGAGGAGGAGGAGGAGGCAGCCGCGCTGGAGGAGGAGGAGGAGGAGGCCGCCGCGCTGGAGGAGGAGGAGGCCGCCGCGCTGGAGGAGGAAGCAGCTGCGCTGGAGGAGGACGCGGAGGGGGAGGAGGAGGCCGCGGCAGATGAGCTGGAGGCCGAGGCCGATTCGCAGCCGGGCGGCAGCTGCGGCGGCGGACGCGTGCAGAAGGTGCGGAACTGCCCGCCGTAGGAGTCGGGCTCATCGCGGTGGCAGTCCACGATGTAGTTGCGGAAGTCATGGTAGCAGCGGGCCGTCGACTCGGCGTTGCACCAGTAGAAGCGGTGAATCCAGTCGACGCACCGCTGGCTGCAGTCGACAAACTGCGTCATGATGTCGCACACGATGAGGAAGTCGCTGTCGTCCTGGGGATCGTCGGCGGTGCAGCCCTCGCCAATGTAGTCGACATTGGGGTCGGTGTCATCGACCAGCTCGCAGTTGAGCGGCGGCGGCGAGGAGCCGGAGGACGAGGCCTCCGGCAGGGATGCACTGGTGCTGGCACTGGCACTGGCACTGGCGCTGGCGCTGGCGCTGGCGCTGGCGCTGGCGCTGGCACTGGGGCCGGAGCTGGCGCTGCCAGACGACGACGAGCCGGGGATCAGCGAGTCCGGGATGGGAGCGGTGAAGCCGGGGATGGCCTCGACCGCCATGCCGGTCAGGGTGGGCACGGGCAGGTTGTTGCCGGAGCACAGGTCGCCCGAGGGGAGCCGGCGGCGAATGTCCTCGATGGTCCAGCGGCACTGCCGCATGAAGTCCAGCGTGTGCATGTAGCACGACAGGGTCGAGTGCTGGCAGGTGAGGTTGGTGTACTTGGTCAGGGCGCAGGCGTCCGAGCAGGGGTCCTCCCGGCAGTAGTGGTGCTGCACCGGCTGGAAGGGGTAGCGAAGGGCATTCAGGGCGTCGCAATGGACACTGGCCCGGCCGGGCCGGGCGTGGGCCAGCTGGGCGGCCTGCAGCAGGAGCAGGGTCGCCGCCAGGAGTAGGGCATACGGCCGCATGGTGGATTTGGCGTCGGACGAGGCGGGGGGAACACGGAGGGGGGGCGGGGGGACTTGGGAGGAGGGGGCTTATTCCCGGTGCGGGGAAGGGGGTGTGCTGGAAGAGAAGGGCGACTTTTCTTTGGGGGGGTGCCAGCCACCTGGGCCGGTGGGCCGGCCGGGCCGGGGCCATTTAAAGGTAGGCCGGGGCCAGGCCGGCCAGTGGGGCCGAGCAGGCTCCCGGCGAAAGGGCCCCCCGTGGCGCTGTGGGCCTGGCAGGCCCCACTGGCTGGGATGCCCCCGGTGTGCGTTCGCGCGCATCATCGTGCCTCTCCGGGTGCGGCTGTCCGACTCCATGTGCGGCCGGCTGCGTGCGGCACGCCGCCACCGCCCCGGCGGGGCCCGGCTCTCACGGCCCGGAGGCAGGTCGCCGCGGTCGCACCGGCCAGCTCCCGCACCAGGGGAGGGGGGGGGGAGTGTACCGCCCCGCGAGCCGGGCCCAACAGCCGGCCCGTGCTGCCTGCCGCGAGCATGGGGGCCACGGCGCCGTGTGCCGGCGGCGCCCTGTCACCGGGCGCGGCACGCGATCCAGGCTCGCCGGTGGCCGACCTCCCCCTGCCGCGGGCCGACACACCGGGCCGGTGCCGGCAGCCGGAAGGGCCTCCGCCACCGGCGTGTCAAGCCGCCGGGCGTTTCTCCGGGGGGGGGGGGGGGGGGGCCGGCCGCCTTCGGCGATCGTGGCGGCATAGCCCGGACCGAAGCGGCCTCTGCCCTGGCAAGGGACATGGCACGTCCTTCCCCCGGCCTGGGCAGAAGGCGGCAAACAATAACACACACACACACACACACGCACACACGCGCGAGCGCCAGCCCACCGCCCGCCCCCCCCGCGGGCCTGGCCAGTGCGAAGCACGGTGTCCCGCACGCTAGCGACCAGGTTGATCGGCGGAGCATTCCCCAGCGAAGGACCTGTCCATCTACACACCCCCCTTGGGGATCTGCGCCAGGGGTAGGTGCATTTCTCCGGCGTTGACATTATATTGGCATATGTGCATGTGCATGCTCGTACGGTGGCCGGCAGGCGGGCGCCCGTGTGCCCGGCGACCGGCACCGGTGCCACCGGGGGGCCAGCCAGGCCGATCAGCCAGCCCGCCCCGAGGGGGCTCCCCTGCCGAGTGGCCAACTCTCGCGACCGTCAAGAGCCGGCTCTCCCCCCGGCGGCCTGGGCGCCTCCCCCCCCCCCTCCCCGGCAGGGGCGGATGGTCTGGGTCGGCATGCGCCCGGCCGGCCCGAGGGTCAGGGGCAGGGGCGAACCGGCAGGCCGCACCTCGGCGCGGTTCGCCCGCGCCCGCGGTCCTTCCCATCGTGCCCTCTCTCTCTCTCTCTCCCTCTCTCGGGCGCCGGGGGGGGGGGTGTCAGTGACGCGCGTGCGCCCGATGACGGACCCGATGAGTGGCCGCCCGGTGCCGGCGGCCGGAGGAATGAGCAAACATCGTTTCCGGGCTAGCTGGCCGGCGGGCAACCCGCACGCCCGGCCGCCGGCGCCCCATTCCCTGGTCCGACGCCGGCAAATCTGTCCCCCCCCCCCCCCCCCCCCGCGTTCATTGTCACGTCGGGGCTCGCCCGCTGGCTAGTGGAACAATAACACTGGACCCGCCGGCCGGGGGAGGAATTCAAATTCCCACTCCCCACGGGCGGCGGCCGGGGGGAGGGGGGGGACATGATCGCCGAACCCGGCCGTTGTGGGTTGTCTGCCTTGCCGAGGCGCGTGCGCGCGCGCCCAGGCCCGTGAGAGAGTCGGCTCCCGCCGCGGCTGGTTGGGGAGCGGGGCGCGTTCCAGCGTGGCGGCCGTGGCGCGCGCGCGCGCGCGCGACCGCCACCGGGACACTTCCCGGCGGGCATCCCGCCCCACCAACCCGGCGGATGGTGTTCCACGGCGGACGCGCGCGATGCGCCGTCGTGCACGCGCGCTGGTCGCCGCCCCCGGGTTCAGTGCGCGGGGGGGGGGGGGGGAAAGAAAACAACGACTCGCGATCTGGTGTCCCAGCTCAGGAGCCGGGGAGAGCCAGCACGCGCCTCCTGGCACGGGTGGATCGCCGTGCGGGCCCGCCCGCTCGCGCGGGTCATGCGGCACGGCTGATCCGCTGGCCGGGGCGCGGCGGGAAGCTCACGTGCGCAGACACGCCACCGGGCCAGCCGCCTGGCCGCGCTGGCTACAGGACCAGTCATTCCGGAACTGACACCCAGATGCTTGTGGGCGAGGAGGAGGGCGAGGGACGGTGGCCGGCAACAGTGGCTCCGGCCTCGCCATTGGGGGGCCGCCCTCATGCCCTGGCACTCGGGGGGTGGGGTGGGGTGGGGTGG